TCGCTTATAAAATATATATTAAAGATTTTAATTGATATTAGTTATTTAGATTTGAGGCAGACCTTTTTTTCATAGTCACAAATAATTAAACGAGTCATAAATTTCGTACACTGTCAGTTTCGCTTCCTCTGCTAATAAATGCCTGAGGGGAAATCTTAACAAATAAGAAAATTATATTCAGCAATCTGTATGGGTTTTATATAGTCTCTGAACTTGCTTTCTGGATGCTGCAAACGTTTGAATAGAATATCGAAATTTCAATTCTCTAAGGTATTGCGTAGGCATCGTCGATTCTTCCCATTATTATGCACGTACCGCAAGGCCATCTATAAAATATGTATAATAAATAAGTTTTTGTCATTGCATCTGTTGCGGTTCGTAAGTAACGAGCAAAAAAGCGAAACTTTGTTTTTTCCGGTTGTTGTTGTACTGCGATCGTGTCCTTTGAACACGATTTGGCTCTATTTCAATACTAGCTTGCATGAAAGAACTTTCATCTCTTCTGCCAAATTTGAAGTGAAATGATGCATTTTTGCGACCGAAAGAATGTTTAGCGTAGACAGACAGACAGACAGACAGACAGAGGGATACATGTACTTTACATATATACTTTGTGAGATCTCTGAAGCTTCCTTCTGAATATGACAAACATTTTGACTTAACGAGTACACTCTTCGTCCTTCGATGATAGGTATAAAAAGCATAGATGTCTCATGCATTAAGATATATGTGAGCAAATTGATTACATGCAAACAAGATTTAGTTCTGGTTAAATATTTCAAATCCAAATAAGCGCAGGCAACACCAAACAAAAATAACCAAAAATTCTTTCGAACTTTTGCTCTTTATTATGATGAATAACATATTAACATTTTGCTTCTAACGTAAAGAAACAAGCGTCACAGATGTCTCGATTTCCATACATTAAAACACTCAGAGAGAAAAGCTACTCACATAAGTTACTTGTATTTAAAAGTTGACATACTGTAGATTTTCATTTATTTTACTCTTTCCATTAGCTTAACGCAAGTATCTTAATGTTTTCATTAACGTTTGTTTTTTTCAATTTTAATTTTATACATTTTTGCTTTTAATACAATACACACACAGATGAATTGACAAACAGACAATTAAGCCAACAGAGACACGAATAGATAAGAAGTTGGGTATTAATATATCTATAAAGGAATTGCTACCATTTTTTAACCAAAAGTATACGCGGTGTCTTTTTATTTGCAATGCAAACATGTAAAAAGATAATTAGGTCGGCAAGAAAGATTGAGCAAGTGGAGAGCTGTCATCAAATAACTGTTAAAGTTCTGCAGCAAAATTTTCTGGTAATGGATTCCAATTAAATGCAGCCCCATCTCCGTGGAGAATAAGAGGAAACTGATTTTAAAACCCCATGTGTGTCGGTGACCAGAACTAACTATTATTATATACATAGATCGCTATTTACACTTTTAGCTTTGGCAAGGGCAAGTATTATTCGAAGCCATTTGAGTTTCCCATTGAGACGTTCAACATTCTTGACTTTGGTTAGAGCATTTGGTTATTTGATCGCTATTTGTGTCGTTTACAGTTGTTTAAATATTGGAAAGAAATCGTGTAAAATTTTCGTGGAATGGTTTTTTACCACAATCGACCTAAATTATTAAAGCAGCGCTCCATTACTTCCACTTTCGTCAATGAATGAATCATCGTTCGACACTACAGTAGGCTGGTATGACGTGGCAGCGGTTCGTCCATCAGCCAAAGCCGTGAAAATCAGTTATTGTGCCAGGAGACATTGACGTTGTGTAAAAGCTATTAACAGAAGGTCGACATGTGACGTATTGGCATCCCCAGGCATTAATTACAAATGCAAAATGTATAACGTATGTAAAATGTTGCATGATCATATAGCCATGCAAAAGGTTTTCTCCATAAGCTTGAATCCTACAGAATTTGAGAAAATCCCAAAAAGATGCTTTTCTCGATTGATGCGAGCAAATGCTTAAGCAATGCAATGGCGGTACTTGAAAAAATTTCTGTTGGAATACGGAGCGTAGCGAATCATGGATCTGTGGGCATGAGTCGGAAAGTAAACACTAGGTAAGAATCAAACTCAAAAAAAACATTTTCCAAACTTAACAAAAACTGTTCGCACTCAAAGCAGGCTGAAATGATCGTCGAAAGCTCTTTGGAAAAAAATTAGTCACACCGTAGCCACAGTGCATTCAGACCAAAGCAAATTGATCTTTTCTAACTGATGCGCAATAATGTATTTGCTGCAAGACTTTGCTGATCTAAGGAAAGCAAGCAAGTACCGGCGAATTATTTTTCATCATCCTCTCCGAAGAGCGATTCATTAAATACTCAAATAATCGAATCACAACTTCGTCATTTGGCACCTAATGGCTTCTTTTGCAAACGGACGCATCAGGAGTAAAATGCGTGAATAGTGGCTTTCGTCGCCCGAAGAAGCAGTTTGCGCGTTGTCTCAGGCAGAATGGAAAATTTGCTATAACATATGGTTCGAACGTACGCAAAAGTATATAAATTGTAAAGAATCTCTTGAAAAATGTAGAAAGAGAAGGATATCTTGAGAAACAATAAAATAATTTTTATGAAAAGATATTGTTTTTTATGCTTAAAACTAAAAATATAAAAGTGTTCTATGTGTAAGATAACTTTAGCGTATTTTCGATACTTTGTTGTTGCACGTAACATTTTCATACAATTGCATGTTTACCAGGGTTAAGCCATTAATTTCAAAAATCTCGAATCTCTCTAACAAACTTCCCCCCCCACCCGTGGTGAAATGATATATTAAGTTTGTGAGGATGCAACACTGCCAGATTTTCGCGATTTATTGTACAAGTAAGCTCCTGTCCGTCCCTCTGTAGTTGATACAGTTTAGTACATCCACATATTTTGATCAGTTCTCATATCACGCTTTAGTTTGAAAAGTCGTTAAATGAATTGGGTAGGGTACTTAACAGCAAGTAATGCTTAATTTAAAATTTTTTTCACACCCATGAAAAAACAATGTCAATATTAAAGTCGAAATTGAAGCTTGCAAAGTGGCAAAAGTTCCACTATGCAGGAGAAGGAGTAGAAGTAGGAGGAGGAGAATACGGAAACATGTTGTTTCCTTGTTTTTGAATTGGAAAAGGAAACCACGTTAAACAAGTACTTTAGTTAAAGGAGTGTGTCGATAGTGACATGACAGTGTAGCTTCAATTCGTTCAAGCGGAAAATTAAATAAAATAAACCACGATTGTTGTTGTTCGTTTCTCTTGTTTTCTGCATCAAAAGAGAATTCATTTTTGCATTTTTCGCCAAATCCTTCCAAATTCCTTGCCCTCTCTCTCTATCTGCTCATCTTTGCTCGTTCATGCACGGCTTTCATGGAAAACGAACACAAAATGTTTCTTTAAATGCTAACGAAACTTGCAATACTATATGGCAATGTCTCCCTAGATACCGTGACACTGCAAATTACATACAAATTAACGTAGTGTTTGAAAAAAAACAAAGGACAAGAACAAAAAAAGAGAAAATTTAATTTATATCAAGTTGACCGAAAAGCCGGAAGAAGGTAAAAAAAAAATTAAAAAAAAAAAATAAATAAATAAAAATAAATAAAAGGAATAATTAACTGTCAAAAGTTTAAAGGAAAATATTCTTAAAAAGTCGAAAAGTTTTTTTTCTTCTTTTAATAACATTTTTTAAAACAATTTAAGTCCGCATGTAATAATGCTCGTACAACTAACTCGTAAGACTTGGAGGAATAAAATTGAATGCGTTTTTTTTCTTCTTTTTTCGCTATCGCGCGAGTTATAATAAACTGCCGGTTTTTTTTGTTGTTATTTCTTTTTTTTTGTCTTTCTTTTTTGCTCTTTTGTTAGATTTAATGACGCTTGTCAAGTAGTCTTTTTGTTTTTTCATTTGTTTTGCTTTTTTTAAATAAAAAAAAATTTATTCTAGTTACGCTTGTTAGGCTACGCGCGCTGTATGGTAGAAAAGTTGTAAATGTTGTTGCTTTTTTTTTTTAACTTACTTCTACTAGAGGAAGCGCTAACATAAGCTGATGAACGGCGTTTAAGACCACTAGTGCTGTCGTTATTACCGCCCACAGGCAAGAAACGAGACAATGACAACAATGTTTTGAAAAGCTCTGTCACGTTGTAATCTTCTTTCGCTGAACATTCTAGTGCTTTAGCCCTATAAAGAAAAAGAAGAGAAGAGAATGTTAACAACTTTTTATGTTTATTAAATATTCAAACAATTTGAAAATTGTAGTAAATTTAAAAATCACGATTTCATGACTCGCACAATAACGCTTAGTTTAACATACAAGACGTGAGTAACATTAGCCAAAATGTCAAAATGTTGCTTATGAACTCCAAGTGCTTCAAGTACTTTTTTTAGTAATCACCAGACTCGGTTATATATGAAAAAAGAATTTCTTTTTATTTTATTCAGCAATTTTTATAATTGCTTGATCAACTGCATTCGCTATACGTCTTGTTGTCCGTTGACGTCGTTATGCCCGACGGCATAAAACTGCATTAAAATGTAATTTTAAATATCGTAAATTACATAACATACATCGGTTTTATCTTGTATAACATTTTAGTTATCGCTATGTAGTTTATAATTTACACTCTAGTTACCGTAATTTATTAAATACAAGCATGCGGTGAATGTAAAAAAAAAAAAAAAATGTTTTTCAATTTTCTTGAATTGTTTTAAAAATCATTCACATTTCATTCAAAACTTTCTTCAAAGCAATAATATACGGTTCTGGTCGCGGCATTTACCCCTTTGCCTACCGGCAACTTGTTTGATCGGCATTGGCAATGTATCCTTCCCGCGGCTTTAAGTTCTCTTAAAAGTTCCGGCGTAAGTCCTGCGAATTTGGAAATATTGTAAAACGTAGTGCGCAATATCGCGCAAAATCACGGCTGATGTATAGCCGTTATCGCGTTAAGGATTACCTCTACGTCGTTCGAAACCGTCTCCGATTTTGGTTTAAAATTGTCTTATTTTTCTCTAAATTTTATTTTTCAAAATTTGTATTTTTTTTTTGTTATGTTGATGACAGCAAGCACAGAAGAACAAACGTTCTTCAAAATAAATTTTCGATTCTCTTTTTGAATTTCAAAAAGATTACGCAAATCTTGTTTTATTATGGACTTTGGGTATAAGTTTTTGCAAGAAATTTGAAAAAATTACTTGGGGGTAAACTGATATATTCAGGTGCTGCCGAGGCATGAATATCTCTGCAAGCATTGTTAGAGAAAACTAGAAATGCTACTGCAACGGAGGATGATGGTGTATTCTCTTCATATCAACCAAAAAAAAAAAAAATTCGGATATTGTGGACCTGAAATTCGTGGCAGTAAAATTTAGTTCCAAACTTGCTAAATGGCAACGAAAGATGCGGAGAAAGTGCAAAATATTTCAGCCTTCATATCCATTGCACACGATGTGCAATTCCTGCTATACCGCCAATAAAGACATGGATTAATAACTTCCGATCCGTATTGGGGAGATAAACAGAACACCGACCACTTTATTACAACATATTTGTATGTATTTGTCTATAATAGAATAAGTTAAGCATCTAATATGTCCGAGCATCAACATTAATCAAAGCCTCCACCAGGCTTGGAACGTTCCCGCATATTTAAAATTGTTCTGATTTTTTTTTAATATCAAATCAGGTAACAAGATATATAAAATTGTAGTTTTTTTGAATAAATTTCTGAAATTTTTAAGATTTCAATTCTGCTGAAGCCACGCATCGAAATTGTTTCCGAAAGAATAGTGGCTTGGTACATATCTCTGTTCTGATGTATTTGAAACATTAAGGACCATTTTTTCGGGACCGTTCGCCGCCTAAAGGTCTTTGGAAACCTGTAAAATTTAGATTTTGGGGTCTGTCTCATATAAGGATTTTTAAGGAAAGTAATCATCTATATGGTAACGGGGAACGATTTTCGGTGTACTATAAAGTAAAATCGTGGGCTATCGTGTTAGGCGAAATGGTGTAGAATAGGATATTGGCTTGTCGGGCCTATTCGAATATAATGGTTTTACTTGTTTTACTTATGCCTTTCAATTCTATTGCTAAATAAAGAGAGTGAGAATAAGGGGAACCGGGCCACAAAAAGCGAAACTCAAAATGGCTTAAATACCTTTATCAATGAAAGTACCGTAAACCTTGATTAGTTATATGTGAAGCCTTAGTAAGCACATGTCCAGACGGGCTTGAAAGGACTTACTTCTAATAAGAGTAGCTATGTATTTTGACGATGAAATTAGATAAAAATTTGCGTGCGAAGTGGATAACTGGACTTTTGCAAATATCTACAAAAGGACACATTTTTCCGGTGTCCTCATAAGATTTGAAGCCTGACACAGTCCATACAGAGAGCAGGGCAACGGGGACCCCTATACTGAGTGAGTTCAGCCCTATGGGATCCGAATATCATTATGCTGAGGAATATCACCATTTTTGTCACCACTGTGGTCTTTTTTTTTGACTCACACGCATCACTGGTCGTTCGTGGGTTCCTCTAGTGACAGTTTGGTACGGTTGGATTTAAGCCTTAACATACTATAACCACTTTTTCAAATTATGATCCCATGAATGTTTAGCTTCATCGTTGATGTTAATGGTTCGCTTAGTCTGGAAGAATGGGGCTTCACGTATTTCAAGTTTCTTCTTTTTCCAGTATGCGCATCTCTTCAAAGATCCAAAAAAACCGCGTCGTATATTCCTCGTCGGGATAGGTTACATTAGTATATTGTAAAGTCCGCGTACAAATTTAAAGAAGGGGTTCTGTTGGACTACTTTTACCAGTAATATCGTAGTAACGGCGTGGCGTCATTTGATATCACGTTTTTGCAAGAATAGCGGCTTGCCGTTTAAGCAAAGGGATCGATGTAAGAAAATGAGTTTGTTTTTTTTTGAGGGCGAGTAGTTAAGTAACATTGGAAGTGAGAAGTCGATTTTTGTCTGTTCTTAAGTAAGGTAGTGTTGTGTTTACGGGAGTGATTGTTGAGTAATTTGTTATTTACGCCGGCATAATATGTGTATCTATTGAAAAGATTTCTTTTTCTATTTCAAACAAAACTTTTCGCAAATTTCTTAAAACCGCATTACTTAAAATTTAGTGAATTAATTTTGTTTCTAATATAATTAAATGTCAAGAAATGAGTTGAAAAACGAACGTTAAATCAGATACAAGTAAAGCTTTTCGATGCCCGATGGGAACATTGCTTGTGTGTTATCCAAGGAAGTTAGTAAACGAGCTAATAAAGACGCGAAAAATTAAAGAAAGATTTTGTAGACAATAATAATAATAAGAAAATGATTAAATTAAGTTTTATATTATTGCTATGATATATTAAAGGTGTATAATATATGATAAAAATGTATTCTGTATGCGCTTTCAAGAAGAGACAAAATAAAGGGAATCAAAGGGATCACGTGACAGCGCACACATTTGTATATCTATCAAAGACCAAATCGTTTGATTTCAAAGAAAAATTTTATATTTATCATCGGTATGCATATATCTGGTTGAACGTGTGGTTGTTTGCCGTCATAGTGGCCGCGTTTGACAATTCATTGTACTGGCGGTGGTGCAGGCTGCAGATTTTAGTTCACAGGAATCATGTAAGTTAAAAACGCAAGGGAAGCCCTAAAACAATAACAATTTACGGCAGGAATAACGTGAGTTCTTTCCTGGAATATGTAAGGATTTGCTTGCCTATATATACGTCATTATACTTCGCAAGGCGTGTGCATTCGTACCTACACTTGCGCTGAACTACGCTGCCGTGGTCCGTAGATGTTTGTGCTGTGTTTTTATGCTACAAATTGAATGAAGAAATTTGTGAACACCCATCATGGGCTTACTAATACATATGCGTGTCTATGAATGCATCAATTGTATACTTATCCAGGCATATGCGGCAGCCGTTTTCAGCCAGAACAACTTTCCGGACCATCCCGAAATCAACTAAAACAACAACCCTTTGCCGTACACATCGGCCAAGATCCGTGGATACCAATCATCAGTGCAAAATTGAAAACAATAGAGGATCATGACAATATGCCGTGGGTAAGGAAGGAGACAATGGCATCGAGTTCACGCTTCTCACTAATGTATGTATGAATGGTAAGCTAAATTTATGAACCTAGCTTTGGATATCCACCGAAACGTTTGTAAAAAGAAGAAAAACCAAAAAGAAAACAAATCATAAACCCATGTATAAATAGAACGATTCCAAATTGAATATTTTCATATATTTTCTCAAAGCCATAATCGGTGTTTAAGTCGTTGAGAACACGAAAAGAATAACAATTAAAATTAAAAATGCTTTGCTAGAAATGTGCGGTTGAGTGGCATATTCCACCGCTGAAGCGGGGTATGGATGGATGTACGCGCGAGTGAAGGCAAGGACTAAAAATGGACCAGCGAAGGGCGTACGCGACAGACAACGGACTTCGTAGACGGGCTTATACACTATGACCTCATTAAAGATCCTCACAAAAGGTCCTCAGGTGCAAATTTTTTTTTTTTTTATTTCTTTTTTCATTTTTTTTCTTTCTCTTGCGGCACAGGCGGCCGAATAAAAATGTGCAAACGCTCTACCGCGCAACGAGCTGTAAGTATTAAATATATTATCCTCGCGTGTTAAAGTCTTGGTTTAAAAAACGTTAAAACAGACGCGAACACGAAAAAGATCATCTCACAGGGAAACCGGATAGAATTAATTTCTAAACCTGTTGATGCTGACCAGCTTAGGCAACAAGTTTAATATTCAAATTCACAAAAAGTCCTTTCGTTCGTTATTGTTATCTTTAAGAGGCTGTCAAAAGTCAAGGAAACGTATTGCTGTCTGGTGCAATGAAAAGGAAAATACGTGTTTTTCTCAAAAAATCATTTTCGTAAGAGTTGTCCGTTTGTGTAGCCACTTTTCGATGGCTAAAAGCAATGGTCTGTGCTTTTAATCAACTTAAGTGCCAGTAATGTGCTTTGCAATGGAACTAGAATTTGTTCGAAATTATCTTTTTGAGCAGTAGCTTTGATGATTTTGCTCATTTATATAATTTCAGCCAATCACTTCTTCTTCTTCTTCTTTTTTGGGCAATAAAATCTGTTAATTTCAGAGAAATTGCAGAGAAAAGAGAGAGAGAGAGAGAGAGAGAGAGAGAGAGAGAGAGAGAGAGAGA